CTCTTCTTCTCCGTCCCCACCAGGCCATTAGCTTACAAAGCTTCCTAGAACATCAGGCACAGCTGGAGCTCCTGGCGAGGAGGGTCACCTTGCTGGAAGCTATCATCTGGCCAGGTAACAACCACACACCCACACATGCCCCCCCAAGCCTTTGCCCTCTCCTCTCCTCTGTCCTTCCTCGGCATGATGCATCTGTCGGGGCGGAGAGCTGGCGCCCAGGAGCAGAGCCCCACGGCAGCAGCCAGGGGCCGGCTGGCTCTCTGCCCCGCCCTGTGTTGCACCCCAAACTTTGCATGCCACGTTCACCACCACCACCCTTTTATCCCCCCCCTTTGCATCTGCCCCCCCCTTGCTTCCCTTAGACAGCATTTCCTTGTTTCGGGGGTCCGAGCATGATTTGGCCTTTCCAGACCCCTGCCTGCCTGTGGGGCAGGGTGTGTTGGGTGGGGGGGAAAGGGGTAAGAGGGAGGGGTCCTTGCTCTGGGGAAAAGTCTCGACCTCCCTCCCGTCCCCCCACCTTCCGCATGAAGAGCAACGGAGGACTGATGGCATGAGCGGTTTGATTCTGTGGGACGCCTTGGCCCTGGCCGTAGCGTCCATCCGGGCCTCCCCCCTCTGAAGCTTGCATGTGGAGGGAACCTGGAGGCTGGACTCCCCAGCCCCTCTCGCCCGCTGCGTGATCCCAGTGGCTGCCAACTGGAAAACTCTAGGGCGCATCCGAGCCGGACACGAGGGGCCCGGCTTTCTCCTGGTCCCCAGACCCTCGCCCACTGGCCACGCAGAGAGTGGGGGCTTCATGCCGAGGACCCCCATCTAGTGAGGGTCGGTCAACGGCCCCAGCCTCCCTGCCCAGTCCTCCTGGTGAAGCCAAGGCGAAGAATCTGGGACCCTCCAGCGATCCGCCACTTGCGTCCCGAACCATGAGCCACACGGGCGGTGGCTGATGGGATACGGAGGCCAACGTATGTTGCCTCTGCCACCGAGCTTGGAAACTTACCTATATAGCCTATATAGAGGATGACCGGCTGACGTCATCCGTCACCTGAGTTGACGATTTGGGGCCCAGGCCATCTTCCTGGCGTGGCTGAGGTCCGGAGGGTGTCGACACGTGATGATGTTTCTTCGTCTTAAGAACAGCTTTCCAAGTTCCCTCGCCACTCCAAAAAAAAAAAAAAAAAAAAGGGGGGGGGTAGATTCTGCCTCAGTTTTTGATCGGTCTTTCTTTGGGCCAGGGCGTGGATGGCTTCCCTTTTTGGAATAAAAACCCTGCAGAGGAAGTCTTTTGAAAGACAAAAGGCACAGGCATCCACTCGCTTCTCCAGAAAGGTCATTTCCCTTGTTTCACTCACTGGGCATCTTCGGGACACCTTGAACTGGAGACATTTTGCCAGGGACCCCCCCCCCCCAAGACTGATTTTTACACCCATAAGGACTAGAAACTGCTTTTCTTCAAAAACAAAAAGCATACACACCCAAAGACTGTGTTTCTTGAGTTGCCACGTTCTACGGCAAGGGAAAGGAAGCCCTAACTCTGCCTTTTCCTCCTTTTCATCCATGGGTAGAACCAGAACTCGGCTCCGGCCTCGGCCCCGTCTCCACCGGCGTGCCCAGCTACGATCGTGGCAAGCGTGATGACAGCCTGGCGGCCTACAGGATGATCTCCCGCCACCTCTCCCAGATGAGCGAGGACAAGAGGAAGTGAAGAGGGAGCATCGGGCGGAAGGTGGTCATGCCTAGGGTTGCCCCCCCCTCCCCAGGCCTAGTGCTTCTCCTCCCCTTTGGACTCTCCAGGTGGAGAAGCAGCGGGGGGAGGCACATCGCCAGCAGCATGCCCAGGAAAGGAAGGGGGGGGGAGGCCGCACGCTTGCTTGCTTGCAACCCTGCTTCATATTTATTTGTTCTTTTTTGCGCAAGGGGCTGCAACCGATGCACTGGGGCTCGTGTGTGCCCCTGATGGGTTCACGCTCTACCGGCTGCCCCCCCTGCTCCACGCCTTTGTCCTGCAAGGGGAAACGGCTCACCCCACGGTGCTATGGGACAGGGCTTCGGAGTGCTCACCTATCCTGGCTCCCTTCCACGGCTTATAGCTTGCTGATGCTTTCAGATGTTGACCGGCTGATTTGTCTTGCAGCTACGGCTCTATATTGTATATCCTCACCGCCGTGTTTTGGTCTTTCTACCCAATGGCTCCTCTTCCCTCTAAGCCTAGCCCGAGGCAGGGAGGAGCAGCCCTTTCGGGCGACTGTTTCGCCAGGCCAGAGTGTCCGGGGGGAATGGGCGTCAGGCTTCCTTTGGGAGGTCCTTCTGTTGTTCCAAAGCGCCGTTTTCCCTGGCTGGGAAAATAAATTTTTTCCATCCTGCCTGACCTCCTGGTAGTCTTTTATAAAGACGGGAAGAGGACCCTGTTCTCTTGGTTTGAGTGAGAGCCCAGCGCAGTCCTGTCTCCCGCCATGAGCAACCCCATGCCTCCAAGTGAGAAAAAGCAAAGCGTTCTGCTTATATACGACCCTGTACTGTTGAAAACACTCTGGGGGTTTTATAATTGCTGTATTTTTCCGTGTATAAGACACCCCCCCACTTTTCTAATCCAAAATTAAACACTCTGGGGGTTTTATAATTGCTGTATTTTTCCGTGTATAAGACGCCCCCCCCACTTTTCTAATCCAAAATTAAGAAATCTAAGTGGGGCTTAGCAAGTGTGGGGGGAAAGGGATCAAAGCGCTGCAGGATTGCTTTGATCCCTGCTTCCCCCTCCACTTGTTTTTGTTCTCGCCTCAGCTTACTTCCGTGTATAAGATGACCTTCAATTTTTAGTCTAAAGATTTTAGACAAAAGTATAGTCTTATACACTGAAAAAATACGGTAAATGATGCAGGCTACGCGCATGCACACACACCACCCTCCTATTGGCCAGTGCCTGGGGCGTCACTGAAGTGCAGCCAGCCTTCCACGTGAAAGCCAGGCCACCTCAGCGCTGCCCATGATGACTGGTTGCCCAGAGGCATCCTCGGCACCCAATGGCTTCTCCTTGCCCTCTCCCTCATGGGCTGAGCGGCTTATTTCCACACATCTTCGATAGAACAGCTGGATGGCTTTGTTGGAAAAAAAAATATTAAAACCCACCCATCGGGGAACGGTAGATGTTTCAAATGATCCCACCAGAGAAACTTACTTTTTTGAGTTGCAATTCACAGAACCACCAGACAGCCTGACCAGGGGTTAATGGGAGATGTTTTTCAAGTTTCCAAGGTCTGGTGATGTCATTCCTACACCTTGTGCATCTGGGCCACCTTGGACAGGGAGGTAAATATGGAGCAACAGCAACTGTAGGATTCAATAGTTAAATAAAGGTGGTGGTGATTCACGTTTTCATCAGGAGCCAGCCCTATCGACGAGGAAGGGCTACTGGTCTGGAACTGCAGAGCCTCCAGGCCTGGGATGTGGCTGAACAGCTCAGCTGGGAGGAAGCAGGAGCTGATTCTGTCTAATCAATACCAGGATTTCAGCTGATAAGGGGAGCCAAGTCTACGCAAGGGCTGGGGGAAGGTGCCCGGCCAAGGGGCATGGGGAAGGAATGGGTCTCATCTTTTAAGTCTTTCCCAGGCTGGCCTCTTTCTTACACAGCATTGCAAGAAGTCAGACCTTGAGAAATCAGTTCCATAGGCTTTCCAGGAAAGAAACTCTCATAAACACCTTTCCCACTGCTGATTTGGCTCTGGAAGGTGGTTTGGGCTTTTTCCCCCCTTCTTTAAATCCAACTCAAGGGTCAATTAAAGTACTCCAACTGGGGGGGGCTGGCTCTGACACAGAATAGAACTCTGTAGAGAAAGCCTTGTAGCACTAAGTCCTCTGCAACGAAGCCAGGTTCAGTATAATACAATCCTCTGCCCTGGGAGATCAAGGGGTGGGGGGAGAATCATAAAAACCATGGAATGCAGGAGAAAGGGTGTGGATCTGGATCAGGTCCAGCCGTGCATTGCCTGGCCAGTGGGAACAACAACCAAAAAAGACAGTGGCAATCAGGCACTGAATTGGGTTGATCCCTTTTTAGGACGTCCCAAATTTATTGTAAATTCTGCAATGCCAATACTGCACCTTCCCCAGTGGGACATCCCAGAGGGGTTTTGTACTACACTTCCATCATCCCCCAGCCAGTGCAGCCTATCTTCTTCCTTGCCATTTCAACAATAGCCAAAAAAAACAACCTTTTTTTACCCCAGATACCATGTGCCTTTTGCATTCTCGGTGGCCAAAGGAGGTGTCCCACGGGTAGCAGAGTCACAATAAAGCACGACCCCCACCCCATCCCGCCCCATCCGATGCCGTTCCTTTGGAAGAATCAGTTGGGCTCATCTGGTATGGCTTGATTTGCAAAGAGCCTCCGCTCTCAGGAGCCCTTTCGGTCCAAGTAACTGGTGGACCACTGAGGCCACCCGTGGCCAGCATTCGGAAAGGAAGGCCAACGCCCTGGCTTCCTTCCAGCCCTTCTGGTTCAGGATCCTCAGTCTGAACCTTCGGAAAGCAACCAAATGAAACGGGCATCCACGAAAGGTCGTTTCCAGGTCGGGTTGCGGATGGGGAGATTTGTTCACCTTTCCATGGCTCAGAAAATAGCACAGCAGCCAACGGATGTTTTACAAGGAACTGATCCATGGTTGCAACCAGAGCCAGCTCAGACCTGGATCGCTCCAGGAGCAAAGTCACCATCGTGGTCCTCATCACCTGGGACCTGCGTGTACAAAAGGCATGTGCAGACTTCGTGTTTTCCTTCTCAAGAACCTGTTTCATTGCACCCAGCTCCTACTACCATGCCTGCCAATGGGTCATTGTCTATTCCACTCTTTAGAGGTATGGAGAAAAGAGTTTTCTTGTTTTTTTAAAAAATGCTGCAGTTAAGGTATAGACAATTGCCCCCCCCCCAAAAAAAAATCATCAGCTCTGTTGTCTCCCTTTCTCCGGACCGATGTGGAAGGAAGAATCCCATCTCTCTTGTTCCCCAGTTGATTCAGAAATTTCTCTTGTCAACTCAGGGTCCCTCCGAGACCAGCAACCCGAGATTCGGTCCTGTTTCACCTGCATTGTGCCTTCCTGGGGGGGGGAGGCTCCATTAACGGCCACGTCCATCTTCTGGTTAAAGCCACGGAAACCACCATCCCTTCTTCCTGAGCCCGGTCTTCTGCCCGGAGGCCCCACACACCCCCGGGAAAGTCCAGCTTTGCTTGGCCCTCCCTGTGGCCTCACGGACGGTGATCCGGAAGAGGCTGCCGGCGGCTCTCCGTCATCACCACGGTTTCATCTCCCACGTGGCCGCCAATCAGCAATGAGACCGCACCCTCAACGTGGCCCGTGGCTGCCAGCGCCACCACGGCCTGGTTGGTGGGGAAGCCCATTCTCTGTAGCTGCTGAAGCCTGAAAAACGCAAGGAGGGGGTGTGAGAGATTGGACGGGGAAGAAAATGGCTGGTACGAGTGTTGGGAGGCCTGGCGGGGGGGGGGGTTACAACCCTAACCCCTTCCTCCCTCGCAACCCCCCAATCAGTCAGAAGGTTACAGAAGAGACTTCAAAAGTCCCTCTTCCCAAGTTTGGAAAAGTTACTTTTACTGGCCACCAGGGATGTGGCCAAATCTGGGGGGTCTGAGTCTTGGGTACCAAGTTTCTGAGTCTCAAGGCCCAAGTCTGAGTCCCTCTTAAAAACAAGCTTTTATCTTCCCAGGAAAAAAAGGGTGGGAGGGGTGGGTTCAGAGTCACGACTTAAAAACGAGCTTTTATCTTCCCAGGAAAAAGAGGGTGGGAGGGGTGGGTTCAGAGTCACGAGTTTTGAGTCATTGAAAACAAAAATCCGAATTGAATCTGAATCGAGTCACCGGTGCAACTTAAGTCCAACTTGACAATGCGTCCTGCAACTCAAGTCCCCATCTCTGCTGAGCTTTTATCTTCCCAGGAAAAAGAGGGTGGGAGGGGTGGGTTCAGAGTCACGAGTTTTGAGTCATTGAAAACAAAAATCCGAATTGAATCTGAATCGAGTCACCGGTGCAACTTAAGTCCAACTTGACAATGCGTCCTGCAACTCAAGTCCCCATCTCTGCTTACGCGTCCCGCAACTCAAGTCCCCATCTCTGCTGGCCACAACTCCTTGGATTATGGTTCGCTCTCCAGAAAAGTTAATTTTTCCAAGCTATGCTCTCTGTCTATCTGGTAGCAGGGAGTTCCACAAGATAAACAGGGATTCTGTGGAAGAATCCGCTCCCTTTGGATGATCGGAAGTTCTTGAGTTTTCCAAGAGGTGGAAAAAGGTCTCTTCCCCCCTCCCTCTTCATTGTTTGCATTTCCTGTAGGCAACTGTGAAAGATCACTCCCCTCCCCTTCTGCTCTAAATGGTCACCGCCAGCAGGTACTGCAACAGGCCACAATAGAGCCCGAAGAGACAGGAAACAGGGTTATCCTATCCTAGCCCTGCTCACAGACCTCTTCCCTCATCCCTCCCTTTCGTTTTGTGCAAGGTCTTTGTAGACTCTAACCCAGTAAACATGGACACCCCCGTATAGATTGCCTGAAAGCAACTCCAGGAACAACATAAAACAGACTTGAAAGAAAATAAACGTATAATCCCCACCCACCCCTCTCTACTTTTACCGTAGAGAAGAAACAGATGATTTGGAAAGCTTCATTTCTTCCTTAGCCATGTCCTGCAAGGAGGCCTGGATCCCGGCTTGGAGCTGCTCGTCATCCGTCAGGGCCGAAAAAGGAACGTGGGATGCCTCCAGCGGAGCAGAGAAGGGAGGCAGAGAACGCGATGCCAAGAGCGCCCGGGGCTCTCGCTCCTGCTCTGTTCTTTCTCCGCTCCAGTAAGAGGTAGAAGACAACACAGGAGAAACCCTGAAAATCAAGGAGAAAAGAGAGAGATTCTGTGCATTTGGGCCGGGAGCAACAATGAGGCCGTAAGGGGAAGGGGAACACAAAAATTAAAAAGATAGAATGGGGAACAAAGAAGTTGAGGAACATGCCATGCACATTTCTACAAAGTACAGTAGGATCCTCATATCCACAGTATCAATACCCGCTGTTTCATTTATCAGTGATCTGAAAATATTAAAATATTTATTTAAAAAACCTCAGAAATACATATTTTCAAAGTAACCACAAGAACTGGTCACTAGAAGGAGCCAGAGACCTTGCTATGTATTTTTGTTGCTGATAATATATGCAAAATACTTTTTTCCCTTTCCTTTTGTCAAGCTATGTCTAACACTCGCTATTACCCGCATTTTCCAGCATCCACGGGGGGTGGGTGGGTTTCAAACCAATCCCCCGTGGATACAGCGGTCCTGCTGTAATAGAATTTATGGATGCAGCCTTTCATTTTCGAGCAGACAGAACTGTCGCTTGGTGAGTTGTGCCGCCGAACGAGTCCGCAAATCGGGGCCATCAGGCTGGGGAAAGCTTGAATGGACAGGACTGGCTGATTCAATAAGGGAGACGCATCATAAGAGAACCAGGAAACTGATCAAAATCCCTGGTGGGGACTGGCCAGGCTGGGATGAAAGAAGAGGGCAAGAGCCACACACTTGTGCAAACTCAAGATCTATGTGTACAACTGTACGGGTGTAAATGTTTCCTCCCATTTATGGGTCTGGCTGGGCCCTCCCTCAAGTTCTGACCAGCAGCTTCTCTTCCACGGGCATCGTTTCCTTCTCAGCCCTGGTGATGCAAGTTTGCTTTTCTCCCTCTCTTCTTCCTTAAGCGCCGTGACTTTCAGACAATAAACATGAGGACAGGGACGGACGGCCTTAACATCCTCTGCAAGTCCTCCTCTCTTCTTTCCTGGTGGAAAATGTTGACATAAATGGAAGACATTTACTTGTGACTTTCGGACAATAAACATGAGGACAGGGCCTTAACATCCTCTGCAAAATGTTGACATAAATGGAAGACATTTACCTTGCCGCTGTAGCTGCTGGATCCGTGAGCGGAAGAATTCCAACTGCTGGGGGCAACACAAATCCGAAGGCAGAGCCTCCGGCCTGCATCCTGCGGACCATCCAGTTGTGGACGCCTTCTAGGCACGCCTCTGGTAGCTCCAGCGGGGAGAAAACGCCAGCCCAGTCTGAGCCGTCAAGGAGAATTTTCAGCCTTGCCCGGGGAAAGTCCGGGCTGCTGCTGGATAATACGGGCCATAGATCAGGGCTTGTCAAGCCACCCTCCTTCCTTTCTGATAAACGTGAGAAATCGCGTCCTTCCCTTCGAACCTGACTTCCCTCAAAAAATGTGTTTGAAATTTAAAATAGGGGATTCGGGGAAAAAAATCAAAAGTATTTGATGTCGCTTTGGGTACAGGAGAGTAGCACATTTTGGGAGTGGGCCTTTGAGAGGGTGAATGATGGCCCCATAGACATACAACGAACTCTGCGTCACCGTGGGCTCTTCCAGACGGAGCATTCACGGCACCCCTCTTTCTACCCCCCAAGAGTTTACCGGGATTCGCCTTCAAGCTTCTCTTTAAAAAATTATTTTCTCTCCTTAACCCTAATTTTTGATAAATCTTTAAAGAAAACTGTTAAGAAATTGACTGTTCCATGGAATGTTGTTTTTGTTTGTTTGAGCGCTAACTGAAAACGTCCAACCCCAAGGATCTCGACACGGAATAGAACTTCTCTGAAGCCAGGTGGTTGTTATTCTTTACGTTGCTCTGACTGCAAAGTTATGCTTTGCAGGAGACGTGGCATCAAGGCACAGTGTGGACATTGCCAACTAGCTAAGCTGGATGTGAATTCTAAAACCGACAATTCAAAAACAGAAGGGAAGGATTCTCCATCTGACCTACAGGGGCCTGGGGCCTGGAGGAAGGGTAGGCGACTCCCCACAGCACATTTTCCCTCTCGCTACCACCCCAGACCTTGGAGGGCCACATCCTGGGGGGAAACACTACACACTGCATCCCCAGATTCATCTGGGGGAGTGCGCTTTGTTATACAATAGGACCCCCGTATTTGCAGGGGATCAAATCCAACTCCCCCGCGAATGTCAAAACACGTGGATTATAGCAAACACAGAGTCTATAAGCAGCATGGTCTCTTGCTCCCTCTAGCGACCAATTCGGGTAATTTCATCTTTAGAAATACTGTATTTTTCCATGTATAAGACAACACTTTTGTCTAATTGAGGGTCGTTTTACACAAGGAAGTAAGCTGAGGCGAGAACAAAAACAAGTGGAGGGGAAAGCAGGGATCAAAGCGATCCTGCAGCGCTTTGATCCCTTCCCCCCTACACTTGCTAAGCCCCACTTAAGATTTCTTAATTTCGGATTAGAAAAGTAGGGGGGTCTTATACATGGGAGCGTCTTATAAATACGGTATGTCTTTCTAGGATTTTCCTTTTAATATTTTTTATATTTTCAGACCATGGATAAGCTAATCAGCAGATACTGATCCCACGGAAAAGGGGGTCCTACTGTATAAAGTTCTAAAAACTGCTTTTTAAGGAAAGGGTGGCAAAATTATCTTTAAAGGGGCAAGCCCTACCTGAGGCTTCTGCAGGCACAGTTTCAGAATCAGAATCTGAAAACCTTTCACGGCTTGCTCCAGGAGGACCTCAGCTGGCCCCCAGGTTACTTGTTGCCCACCTACCCCAACCCAGAGACTCTGAGGTTTGGCAAAGGATACAGGCCAGGCCCGCCAGCAGCCCGCACACGTGCAGGAAGAAAGGAGAATGTGGGGAAAGGACCTGGGTGAGGCCCAGGAGCATCCCGGCCCACAGAGCCACGGAAATCCACCCGGAGAGCCCCCTCTGCTTCTGGTGCCTTTGGTAGCATCCCAGTAAGACCAGATGCACCGGGGCATAGCTGCCAACAGGGAGGGCAGGCCGCCGGTCCCACAGCGCAGAGAGGAGGAGGTAGAGCACCGCCGAGGCGGCCGCCCCGAGCACGGAGACGTGGAGGTAACGGAGGGTGCCCAGCCGTAGCTCCTGGTGCCAGCCCAGGGGCAGGAAGAACAGCAGGTTGGTGCAGAGAAGGGAGGCGTCTGTGTGGCAGAAGCAGTAGGTCACGAGGCGGAAACCTGCCAGCAAAGATCCAGCATGTCGTTAGCAGAGGACTGGCTTCCCCCCCCCTTCCCCCAAGTATTTTGGCATTTCTATGCAAAAGTCTCGGCCCCTGGCGGTCCTGAAAGCAGCTTATGGCCGGTAAAATGCAACAATAAAAGGACAGCAAAAAATGCAATACAAGTTGATTAATACAATTGCGTAACAGTCACAAATGACATTGAATTGGAAATGGGCTGTATAAAATAAATGGTATACTCCGTGTTGTGGCTGCCATGTCACCAGCTTAGTGGGAGGCCATGATCACAGAAAGAAATGGCATCATGCACGCTAGACTTAGAAACCGGTCATTTCCAAAAGTAGTCCGAAAAGAGAAGAAAAGAATGGTTTCCCAACTGTGTTGGCTCGTTGGCCGACACTTACATTGCCAAGGGCTGCTGAGCAGGCTGGGCGCCAAGCCCAAGCTCTCCCCGACGCCCGTCAACCAGAAAATGCAGAGCAGCGCCATGAGCGTGGAGGAGGCCATTGGGGGAGAACGCCACCTCCACCGCCTGGTCTGGACCGGCATGCCCCCTAAGAGTGGGAGAGGAAAAGGAGAGAGAAAGACTCAGAGAGGGGTCCCGGGTTTGTGCTCAATTGCAGGTACAATTTCCATGTTTTTTCTACGTCTTTAGTCCTCACTTCCCCAGACATCCAGTTACAGCTCTGAGACTCAGAAGGAGTCCTCACACACACACCCCATGCGGTGGAAACACGGCTGTCTTAATTCTCACTGACTCAAACTCAAAACAACAACACCAATCTCCTTTAGTTTGTACAAAGCTTGGACAACTTTCTTTTTGGACTACATCTCCTATCATCCCCTAGTCACTACGGCCTCCGCTGCCCATGTGGGGTGATGAATTCCAGAAGCGGTCAATGAAAAAGTAACTTTTCCAGGCGCTTAGTTCCCATGGATGGCTGGCGCCGTGATTTTCTTTCCGAGCGCCTCTCGGGTACCTGACAAGCTTGCAAAGTAGGCCAGAATCATCACGTTCTTCGCTTCGGTGTCAGGGGGTTGACTGCGTTCAGATGTCAAGCCATTCCCCGGTTGGGGTCAGTCAGGGACATCGTAGCTCCCAGACCAGCCGCCCGGCTGGCAAGCTTGGCAGGGCAGCTGAAAGGAGGGTCTGTGGGCGTGCGATTGACAAGAGCTCCAATAATCGTTTTCAGTGCAGAGACAAGGCCGGCTCGGTTGGGTTGGTGGGTGGCCGTGAGTTTATTATTCTGCAGGAGTTCCCTCTGGAACCTCTTGAGATCTCCCGCGCTACAGCTCCCAATACGGCCAGCTGGAAGGAACTGAAAGGAGTTGCAGATATAAACACCAGCCGGACCAAGGGCTGCATAAGACTGGCCTCCGTAAATTGCAACTGGAAATAAATGAATTAAAACCTCTTCCTATCAAACCTCTTTTCTCGTTGCCCTAGAAGGCACGATTGTCCACAGGAAGCGATTCCCAGCAAGAATTCCCAGACCCAAGAGTGGGAGGCAGCCCTGTTAGGGTCTTGCGCTACGAAACAACCCAAGGCTCTTACGGCTTATTTGGCGTCAGCTTTTCCGGACTATGGCCCACTTCATCCGACGGCCACCTTTAAGGCGTGACAAGACTTTCGGGTTGATGAGCAGGAGATTCAGGAGAGAGAAAAAGAAAATCTCTGCTTCGCATGATCATAGTTTAACTGTGGAGATTGCTCTTTTTTAAAATATATACATATTATGGCACCTTATTGGAACAGTACACATTGTTGTGGTGGTCATCTTGGAACTACAGGGCCGGAAGGGACCCGATGGATCCCTGAGTCTAGCCTGTCCAGAAGGCCCCGTGGGGGGAATCGAACTCCCAACATCCGGCTCCGCAGTCAGAGAGACCTCAACCACTGAGCTCTCCAGCTCATATAACATAGAAACAAAAACTGAAAAAGGAAGGCTCAGGAAAATAAATCAATAAATTTAAGGTGTCTGGGCTGTATTAGAAAATTAGCAAAACAACCAACTGAAGGAGTATTTTTAAAAAATTGTCAAAGTGGATGGACAAGAATTGGCCTATCAGAGTTCACTCAGCTGTACCTGCTGAGTAGAACATCCACATTAGAGGCAGTATACCTTAAAGTAACAACTGCTGGAGGCAAACGGCATGGCAGGGACATATTCTTGCCTACGTGAACCACTCAGAAGCTTTCCGGAAGGTCAGATCAAATGGGGCTCAGTTTGCACCAGGACTTGGAAGCCTTCCAGTGAATAAGTGAAATCCAAGCATCACCTCTTAACCCCAAGCAGTGCCGGCCAAAGATATTTTGCCGCCTGAGGCAAAGTACAAGCGAGCACCCCCTTCTTTTCCAGGTACAAAAGCTAACGCGATTGGCCCCTGAATGCTTTCTTATCCTGATCTGGAGGCAGAAGAACTGGTTTACAGGATGCTGGGCAGAGCCTTTGGCAGACGGAGTTCTGTCTTCTGCTCAAACACCGTATTGCCGTCTCCCAACATCTGCTGCCTGAAGCAACCTTCTCCCTTTGCCAAGCGGTCCCAATAGCAAGACATCAACACGGCCAGGGCGTTGCTTCTCTGCTTCTCCTCCCTTGTACTCTGCAGCCTCTCCTTCTGAGACACCCCCCCCAATCTAGCTTACAGCCCTCCTCCTGTCCCAGTTCTCCCACCCAGAAGAGAACCCGAGGGCCGGGAGACCGTCTTCCCCATGAGGCCAGTTTTTACCCAGCTCCAAAAAATGGGTCTTTTGCCAAAAAAGCCAGGGGAGGGGGGCCCGCCAGCTTCCTCAGCTTGCCGAAGACCAGCGGTCAGCCATTTCGGACAGGCCGGCCGGCTGTGCAAGGGCCCCTTGCAAAGGGCGCTCAGCCATGCTTGATGCCGGCAAGGGGCTGTCGAGAAAGAGGTGAAGCAAGAGGGGGAGGATTTGAACTCAGGCCCGCTTGCTGCTGCAAAAACCCTACTGAGTTGATATTCTGCAGAAGGGGAGGGCCATCTGTTTGCTTTACTCCTTTTTTTCAGGTTTGTTAGGTTTTGGTATCCATTTTCTCCCTTTACTTCATTTCTCTCTCTCTCTCTGAGTACAAGGCACAGGTTGGGAGTTCAACAGATGGATCTGCAAAGGCGTACAAAGAATTCCGCAACCTGAATCAACACAGTCTTAAAGGCGGGTTCAAGCAGGGACAAGCAGTGATCTGGGAATCTACACCCTGAAATACAGAAACCCTTGTTACATAAATCTTGGGTTTCCAGACAGTCGATCCTGCACCATCTCTAGGTGGGAGTTAATTCCTAGGAAATAGATATACAGGTGCCTTTTCCTCTCACCTCTCAGGTGTTTGGGGGCCAAGCTGTAAGGGAGGTGGCGGCTAAAGAGGATGCTCTTAAGGTTTTTCTAAAGGTATCTTTTCCTCTCCAGGTGCCTCGGTGGAAAAGGAGATTTCTCCTCTCCAGCTGAGGCCTCTGGTGGTGGGATGAGGATGATTATGGGCACGCTGTTTGCAAAACTCTTACTAGCAGGGCCACCTAATAATCACGCTTGAAATCTGAGATGCAAGCAGCCCCACTGAGGACAGAAGGAACTGCTTGTGTGAAATACGTGCAATGGGGCCAGGATCACTATTTATTTATTTATTTAATTTATTTGATTTATATCCCGCCCATCTCGTATATTTATACACTACGAATCACTTCTGATTATTTTATATTATGGAGATGCAAAATGTCTGAAAATTTCCATTTCTACGAATCACTTCTTATTATTTTATATTATAGAGATGCAAAATGTCTGAAAATTTCCATTTCTTCCCCCCCCCCTCCCGGGGAAAACTGTTTTCCCCCTGGGGAAAAATAAATGGAAATTTTCCATCTCTATAGAGCTTTGTTTCCCCCCATCCCTTCCCGGGGAAAACTTTTTCCCCCGGGGAAAAAAAATGGAAATTTTCCATCTCTATAGAGCTCCAAACACTTCTAAGCGTGTGTGGTTCCCCCCCCCCGGGGGGAGGGAAATGGAAATTTTCGGACATTTTCCATCTCTACTCCTGAGGAGGAAGCGGGCTCAGGGAATCCTCTTGTACAGTATTCTCTTCATGTCATCAATACACATTGATTCACCCAATGAGTACTACAAGTCCCATCATCCCGACTCACTCCCACCTGATGGAAACGGCTGTACCCGACAACAACGTTCAAAAAAATCTCCCCCCCCAAAAAAAAACCCGGCAGCCGAGGTGCCCTCGGACACAACAACTCCCATTATCCCCAGCCCCGCCTCTAACCCGATGCTCTCCAGGACATGCCACCGCTGCATGTCTTAATTTGGTCTATACCCGCTAAGAATCCTCTCTACTGAACAGCTCCCATCATCCCCGGCCCAGCTTCACGAGGACTACAAGTCCCATCGCCCGCACCACCTCCCCACCTCCACCTCAAGGACCTCAGACGTGCTTCGTTCTCCAAGCCCACCGTCTCTTGCGCGACGATCCCTAGCGGCTCCGCTGGACGGAACCACTCTCCGCGGCCGGAAAGGGGTGGTCGTTCGGGCGGTGTGATGACGAAGCCTTCGGGCCGCCCGGCAACTCCGCCTCGCTAGAGCGCGCTCCCCTCCCTCTTCGGAGTGGGAGGTCCCAGCGGGGAGGCGGGGCCAAAGAGGCCGCGCGTAGGAGGCAAACTCGGCTTCTTTCGCCCCTTCCTCCTCCTCCTCCTCCTCTTCGCGCCGGCGCAGTAGGGGCAGTCCGAGCTGACGAGAGCCCCGCGCGTGCGCACTGCCGGGCGGCCCGAAGACCGGGGAGGACGTTGGAAGGGGGAGGGGGGCGCCAGAGAGAAAGAGGAGGCGAAGCGAGAGGGAGAAAATGGCGTCCACGGGTGAGTGAGGGGGAGGCCCGGCGAGGCCTCGTACTGGGACGCGAGGGGGAGCGGGGAGGCCGCCTCGGAGGGCGGGAGGGAAGAGCTGAGGGGATGGGAGTGGTGGTGGTGGGGAAGAAGCTCGGCCTGAGGAGAAGTTATAGCGGGGGGGGAGAGAGAGAAGCCC